ATTTAATGCTATAACTAGTACTCAAACAGTATTTTTCACTTTATGTTTCTGTGTGGGAGCAAACGGTTGAAATCTTTACTTAATGTATGCTAAACTGATCTTCTGTATATAAAGAGAATCGAAAATGAATCTTGATGTGAATGGAAGGGGAGAGGGAGTGGGAAAGGGGAGGGTTACGGGTGGGAGGGACGTTATGGGGGGGGGAAGCCATTGTAATCCATAAGCTGTATTTTGGAAATTTATATTCATTAAATAAAAGTTTAAAAAAATAAAAATAAAAAAAGACCTACTATGAAGTCAATCAGGCTCTTTAAGTATATATGTATATATTTATGAAAACCTATAACTAATGTTAACAGGACAAAATAAATATAAGAATAACAATTTCAAAGTCACATTAAAGATTTATAATGTCAAATGTTATCAAGAAAAATATTACATGTAGAGAGAAGTAGTTCACAGAGATTTGATAGATAATGAGTAATGTGAGATGCTAGCGTTTTTCAATATTTGTAGATAAGCAGTAATAATTACATGAAAGTAAATTATTTTGGAAACAAAATTACAAATTCAAGTTTTCAGTGTTACATTTTCAAATTCTGTACATGTTTTCCTTTCAATTTTAAATGGAATATATAATAAAACTGATTTCAGGCAAGATGAGAGACGAAATCTCAAAAATTTCTAATGTATTTGTATGGGACCAATTTGAATATGGAGCAATAAGATATTAAAAATCACTAATTAAAAGGCAAACCCTCTGTGTCTGTGCATACATTTAGAGTTCTATTTAATGTAATGTACTTAGCTGGTAAGTGATCACTCAACTATTTTACACTTCTTCTGCTCTGAACTCTATGCATATCCTGAAGAAAAAAGAACAGCATAGAACAACATACGCAGCCACGTGTGAAAGCAAGAAACAGTAGTCACCAATTACCAGCATCAGAGGGAATTTCATTAAAAGACATTTGGTACCTAAAGAGAAAAGCATGAATAAAAAGGATTCAAAATGAGACAAAGTCCTTAAAAGTAGGGACCAAAATTAATTAAATCTATAGAATGTTGAACCTTTCTGCTTTTTTAGTAATTTTATTTAAGGCACACAAATTTTATACATTTCCAACATATAGATTCAGGAACATAGCTGTACACCCCCCTCGACCTCTTGCCTATGCTCCCACTCTTCTTCCTCCTCACTCTCCTATTCTCATTCTTAATTTTTACAAGCATCTATTTTCAGTTAACTTTATTCTCATAAGATTAATCCTACACTAAATAAGGAGTTTAACAAATAGTATGAAGAAATGCTGTTCCTTAACACTAGGGACGAGGACTGTTAAAAATCAAAATTGAAAAGTTTCAAAATGTCAATTTCACTTCTATATATTGCCTTTTAGATACTCTATTCTTTACCACACATCAAAGAGAAAATACAGCATTTGGCTATTTTGGGACCGGCTTATCACACTAAGTATAATAATTTCCAGTTGCATCCATTTTGTTTAAAAAGACAGGATTTTATGTTGTTGTTGTTTATCACTGTGTGGTACTTCATAGTGAATTGAGCTATGATAAACACGGAGTACTGGTCTAGCCAACGTGGAAGTCACTATGGAGATGTCTCAAACATCTGAATGTAGACCTACCATGTGATAACCCAGCCATCCCACTCCTGGGAATTTACCCCCACAAAAAGAAATCAGTATACCTTTCTGAACCTTTCTGCTTTAAGCATAAAATAATTATATTGGGGTGCTAGAAAAATATCAAGAATTATAATGTACCTGTAGTTGTCCCTAGGATACAGCACAGTTAGCCAAGACGCCATTCTCAAGGGATCACTGCATGACACAAGTTATTTAGAATATTTGCAGAAGTCAATACCTATGATGATTTGAGAAAATAATCAACCATACGTGAGGGTACTTCAAAAAGTTCATGGGAATGGAATTAAAAGATAAATTTATTTTTGCCTATAAAAATGTTGAAATCCATGTGTAAATTTTCGTAATGTGCATTTTTTCATAAACATTTTGGTGTCTTCTTGAATGCTTGGGCTTCAAAGTTTTCACAACAAAATGAACATTTTTAATTCCAATTTTTCACAGATTTTTGAAGTACCTTCTAGAATAGTAAGTTTTCCCTACATGAATTAGATTCAGAAAAAATAATCAGAGTATGTTTTAACTAAGATCTATTTTCATTTAACTTAATACACATACAGTTAACTGTGTTAAATAAAGGGTTCAGGGTCTGGCACTGTGGCGCAGCAGGTTAATGTCCTGGCCTGACGTGCCAGGCATCCCATAAGGGCGTCAGTTCGAGACCCAGCTGCTCAATTTCCTATCCAGCTCTGTGTTATGGCCTGGGAAAGCAGTACAAGATAGCCCAAGTCCTTGGGACCCTGCACCCATGAGAGAGACCCAGAAGAAGCTCCTGGCTCCTGGCTTTGGATTGGTGCAGCTCTGGCCGTTGCAGCCAATCGGGGAGAGAACCACCAGATGGAAGACCTCTTTCTCTCTCTGCTTCTCCTCTATCTGTGTAACTCTGACTTTCAAATCAATAAATGAATGTTTACAAAAATAAAGAGTTCAACCATTAGTATGAAAGAAAAAAAGGGTATGTAAAATAAGATAAAATAAATGAAAAGAAAGAAAAAATACAAAAGCACAAAAAACGAACCTGTTCCTCAATAGTCAAGGCATGTGCTGTTCCATGTATTTTCTCTCAAAATGTTGATTTCATTTCTACATGTTGCCTTTTAGGTGCTCTATTAGTTATCACAGGTCAGTGAGAACATATGGTATTTGTCCCTTTGGGACTGGCTTATTGCACCAATGATGATGTTTTCCACTTCATCTGTTTTGTTGCAAATGACTGAATTTCATTTGTTTTTTACTGCTGTGTAGTATTCCATGGTGCACATATCCCATAACATCTTTATCCCGTCTTCAGTTGATGGGCTTCTAGGTTGATTCCATGTCTTTGATTTGTGTATTGAGCTGCAACAACATGGAGGTACAGGTAGCTCTTTCATATGCTGATTTCATTTCCCTTGGGTGCATTTCCAGGAGTGGGATGGCTGGATCATACGGTAAGTCTGTGTTCAAGTTTCTGAGATATCTCCCTACTGTCTTCCATAGTGGCTTTACTAGCATACATTTCCACCAACAGTGGGTAAGGGTACTTTTTCCCCACATCCTCACCAGCATTTGTTGTTTGTAGATTTCTGTAGGAAAGCCAGAATGTGGTTTTAAAGCAAATATAGTCCAAATGTTAAGGTTGGATAATAGGTAACATAAGTCTATTAATCAGAAAAATATTCACTGATTACCTAAATTTAATTTTATAAAATAAATACCTAAATGGGTCAATCAAAATAGGATAGAATATTGAGAAAATTCATAAATTTTGTGTTTTCCTAACTGAATCTTGACAGAACCTACAATAGAAGTCCCCTAAATTCTCTAAAGAATTCTCAGTAAACAGATTAAAATGCAAAAGAGTTATTTATTAACATGTTACATCAAGGCCTTCCTGATTTTGTGCAATTAAATTCTCTGGATTCTGGTTGTGTTCCTGTCTACAACCATCCATCTTATGCTCTATTGAAGTATTTGTAAACTGATTCAGTGTTTTTGGGTCAATATCAATCTCATTATATCCTGACTCTTGAAGCCTGTTATCATGACTCATCAATCCAGCTCCAAAACTCACCATCTTTCACCTAGAATTTCAGATTAATTTTTAACCAAGTCATCTGACCTTCATTGATCTCAGTTCTTTGCTGGTTACATCAAACCAGGGTCATGATGATAGTGGTTTCATTTATGAATAGTAAATTTGTAGCAAATAACAAATTTCCTTTTATGTCTTTTCCACACCAAAGATGTGTCAATTAAAAAAAACACAATTAAAATAAGAGCAGTATATGAATAAAAAAGATATGAATGGACCATAAGCACAAAGAAGATGGTCAGTCAGGTTAACAATTATGGGTTTCTCAACAAAATCAATGATACATGTTCCTATAATTTGATTTGTGAGTAGAACTATGAATAGACCCATTCACACATTAGGGGGAATCAAGAAGCTATATGGGAAAATCTAAACTGTATGATGTACTTCAGATATTTTTTCATATCCACCTATATTCATTATGCAGACAGCAATTAACATTTAAATCTTTTCTAATAATATCTTTAGTGCATACAATAGTGTGGGCATTGCTTGAAGGGAAAAGATCAAAGAATAGGGTAAGTTTTGTGCCAGGATTAGGCCAGCACATGGGAAATCAATCTGAATACCCCATGTGACTGGTAAGATCTCAACCATTTGAAACATCACCTTGTTCCTCAAAAGGTGTGCACTAGCAGGAAGCTATAATCAAAGCAGATGTAGAACATGAACCCGGCAATGTGACATGGGAAGTGGACATGCCAGTGTTATTGGCTACATCGAATGATTGCTCCAAGGGCTTCTATTTAGAGTAATGAAATGTTCAAAAAGTTTTAGTGATGGTGGTTGCATATTCATATGAATAGTATACTACAACATTGAATTATACACTTTGAGTTGTGAATTTAGAATTTTATGTATGTAAATTATACTCTATGAAAATCTTTACAAATAATCTCTTGGACCATACTGTGCAGGAAATGTGGAGAAGCAGCAAAATTACATTATCTCTATTTTTGGGTCATGTCATTGCCTCTCATTTGCCACAGCTCTTGACACTATTCTACACTTTTACATAACATGGTTGACTTGTACACACAGGTCATTGTCTCAGAGCTAAGTGAAAATACTTAATTATAAAAAGACACTAATATCATTCATATAAACATAAAATCATTTACCTTGGCTTTTCCACCTACCATCCCAGTCCTTCGCTCTGAGTGTTTATACAATATAATTACTTAGATCAATGTCAAGTTATATTTTAACTTGTTAGATTTCTTCATGGATATAAACATGAGTAGTGACATAAAGGGACAGCAATTGGAGAGGAAGCACTGATTTCACCAAGATGTCTGTGAAACATGTTTCAGTTCTGCTGTTGCTGCTACAGCTGAGTTGCTGCTTCAGAACTGGGAGCTGTGGAAAGGTGCTGGTGTGGCCCATGGACTTCAGTCTCTGGATGAATTTAAATGTAATCCTGGATGAACTTGTCCGGAGAGGTCATGAGGTGATTGTTCTGAGAAATTCAGCTTCCATTTTCATTGATCCAAGCAAACAAGCTAATATTAAATTTGAAACTTTTCCTATTGCTGCCACCAAAGATGACCTGGAAGATTTATTTGTACACTATGTTAGTACATGGACAAATGCACGCCAGAACTCACAATGGAAATATTTTTCACGACTGCAAAAGCTCTTTTCAGAATATTCTGACAGTTGTGAAAATGCCTGTAAAGAAGTAGTTTTCAACAAGACACTCATGACAAAGCTACAAGAGTCAAGATTTGACATCCTTCTATCAGATGCTATTGGTCCTTGTGGTGAGCTGCTGGCCGAGCTGCTTAAAATACCCTTTGTGTACAGTCTCCGCTTCACTCCCGGCTACACTATGGAAAAATACAGTGGAGGACTTTCAGTTCCTCCTTCCTATGTTCCTATTATTCTTTCTGATTTAAGTGGGAAAATGACATTCATGGAGAGGGTAAACAATATGCTATGTATGCTTTATTTTGACTTCTGGTTTCAAATGTTTAATAAGAAGAGGTGGGACCAATTTTATAGTGAAGTACTAGGTAAGCCATGTATTTTGTTGGTAATGTCGAGTCCTAACTTTGTTATAACTGTGAATCTGAGGTTGTATGAACAGAAAGTCAGAGGAATATTTCTTTTATGAAAAAATAGAAAGATGAAATGATTTATTAATCTCTCAGATGTTATGGATAAATATATATTCCAGGTCAGTGAGAAACCAGAGGCTCATCACCACGATATGGCATCGTAGGAGGTCACACAAATCCAAATAGAACCCTGAAGATTTCTCTAAGGAATTCCATATCCATTTTTTCATAATTTACTTGTTGTATAGATAAGCCAATGATAATTCACTACCATCTTTATTCTTTATTTTTTTCCTTCCTAATATCATGGTGGATGGAGACATGAAGATCAATGTGCTACAGATTTTAGCCCAAGTGTCTATAAGAATAATTGAGTAAATTGTTTACCTGGTGGGCAAGGGTTTCCTTATTTAATCATTAAAGAATTTTTCAACATAACCTAAATGGTTCTTTCACAATTGAGATATAAAATGTTTTATCACAGACTGAAAAACCTATTATTTGAGGATTCTATTGATGCCATATTACATTATTATCTCTTTATAAATATCTCATTGAAGAATAGATATATATGTAATTAGTCCATTTTTTAGAATTATCTTTCTTGAGTAAAAATGAGTTGAAACTAATGGGGAACACAAATGCACTGTTTTATAATTTAAAAAATACTTTCAGCGATGATCATAATTATTTATATATCAATTTCTGTGTAAATAAATATTGGTATTTTCATTAAGTGAACCCCAAACAACAATCAGTACAAGGAACTCAGCCACACTCTTAAACATCTCACAGTTTGGGGCTGGTGTTGAAATAAGTTAAACTGCCACTTGGAACTCTTGCATCCCATACTAGAGTGCTTGATCCAACTTCCTTCATATATGCTCAGAGGGCAGATGGTGATGGCCCAAGTACTTGGGTCTCTGCCACCCATTTGGGAGAACCACAAAGACTTCATGGTTCCTGGCTTCAGGGTGGTCTAACCTTGTCTGTTGTAACCACTTGGAGAATGAATAAGCAGATGAAGTTTTCTCCCAACCTCTCTCTCTGTATTTATTCAAATAAACATAAATGAAGTAGAAGAAGGAGGAAGAGGTGGAGGAGGAGAAGGAGAAAAAAAAAAAAAAGAAAATAAGCAGGAGGAGAGGACAAAGAAGACCTCACAGTTCACCCGGAAAGTCCATACTGGCTCCAGCTTGCTAAATTGCAGAAACCAGACTGAGTACTGCCAGGAAAGTTCTATTCAAGATTATGTTCCTTTCTGTATCTAACATAGTTGTTTAAATTTGCATTTGCTACTTTTGCAACTTTACAGAAAAAAGAAATATGCATCTAATTCTATTGTGGATTATTATACTGAGCATGATTTTGTATATACAGAGGTGATAATAGAGACACAAGCTCTCTTTTCATTGGGTTTGTATATATCTAATATGTAAAGAATGTGTACAGGGTACTCATATCGTCACTGACTGTATCACTTCAACATCTCTCAGAACTTTACATGCAATACCTCACATCACAATTCTCTCTTTACCTTGCCTTTTCTCTCCCCATTCAGGAAGACCTGTTACATTCTCAGAGCTAGTGGGGAAAGCTGACATGTGGCTCATTCGAAGCTACTGGGACTTGGAGTTTCCTCGCCCAACCTTACCAAATATTCAATTTGTTGGAGGGCTCCACTGCAAACCTGCCAAACCTCTGCCCAAGGTAAACAGATTCCTATTTGCTCTGTTCTGTTTGTTTTGCATTTTCAGTGCACATGATCTTTCATTGTTCATTTAGAACATTTGGCTCATAGGGAGAAAGTTATGAAAACCAGATAAAGTGGCCTATTAATTACAAACACATATCTTCTAGACAATCACAATATTCAGATTTCGTGATCATTGGAGAACCGTGTGTATTACCTAAGAGATTCTGCATAAGTTTTTTTTTTTTTTTTTTTTTTTTTTTTTTTACAGGCAGAGTGGACAGTGAGAGAGAGAGAGACAGAGAGAAAGGTCTTCCTTTGCCATTGGTTCACCCTCCAATGGCCGCCGCGGCCGGCGCGCTGCGGCCGGCGCACCGCGCTGATCTGAAGGCAGGAGCCAGGAGCTTTTCCTGGTCTCCCATGGGGTGCAGGGCCCAAGCACCTGGGCCATCCTCCACTGCACTCCCTGGCCACAGCAGAGAGCTGGCCTGGAAGAGGGGCAACCGGGACAGAATCCGGCACCCCGACCGGGACTAGAACCCGGTGTGCCGGCGCCGCTAGGCGGAGGATTAGCCTAGTGAGCCGCGGTGTCTGTTCTACTTAATATGACTGATTTAATTCTGTAATTAATACACAGTTATTCTTAAGTGTTGAAATTTAACTGAAATGTGATCCCTGTTAAACATAAGAGTAGGAATAAGAGAGGGAAGAGATATATAATTTGGGACATGCTCAAGCTGACTTGCCCCAAATGGTAGAGTTAGAAACATACCAGGGGACTCCAATTTAATCCCATCAAGGTGGCATGTACCAATGCCATCTCACTAGTCCAAGTGATCAATTTCAGTTCGCAATTGATCATAATGAAAGGACTAAGAGTCAAAGGGAGCACATAAGCAAGTCTAGTACCTGCTAACACTAACCGATAGAATAAATAAAGGGGAGAGTGATCCAACATGGGAAGTGAGATACTCAGCAGACTCATAGAATGGCAGATGCCCTAAATAGCACTCTGGCCTCAGAATCAGCCCTAAAGGCATTCAGATCTGGCTGAAAAGCCCATGAGAGTATTTCAGGCATGGAAAGCCAAGACACTCTGGCAAAAGATCTCTGTGAGTGAGATCCCAGTGGAAAGAACAGGTCTTCAAAGAAGGAGGTACCTTTCTCTGAAGGGAGGAGAGAACCTCCACTTTGACTATGACCTTGTCTAAACAAGATAAGAGTCGGAGAACTCAAGGGGCTTCCATAGCCTTGGAAACTCATGACTGGAGCATAGGGAGATTACTGATGCCATAGACAGGAGTGTCAATTGGTAAAGTCAACAACAGGAGTCACTGTGCACTTACTCCTCATGTAGGATCTCTGTCCTTAATGTGCTGTGCATTGAGATTTAATGCTATAACGAGTACTCAAATAATATATTTCACTTTGTGTTTCTATGGGGGTGCAAACTGTTGAAATCTTTACTTAATGCATACTAAACTGATCCTCTGTAAAAAAAAAAAAAAAAGAAAAGAAAAGAAAAGAAAAGAAACTATCAACTCCCAACTTGACTCTCACTGGGATTAAACATGACAATAGGTCTGATCTGATTTCATCATCATTAAAAAAATCATCTATTATTTTTCACTTTATGTTTCTGTGTGGGAGCAAACTGTTGAAATCCTTACTTAATGTACACTAAGCTGATCTTCTGTATATTAAGATAATCGAAAATGAATCTTGATGTGAATGGAAGGGGAGAGGGAGTGGGAAAGGGGAGGGTTGTGGGTGGGAGGGACGGTATGGGGGGGAAGCCATAGTAATCCATTATTCGTACTTTGGAAATGTATATTCATTAAATAAAAGTTAAAAAAAAAAAGAAAAAGAAAAAAAAAAAAAGAGATTCTGTTAAAAAAAAAAAAGGGTAGAGTTTAGTATAAGAGAATTAAGTTGACTATAAGGTTGATTTCTCTAGAGAGAGAATTTGTATCCAGAAAAAAATGAATAAGTTAAAATACCTAGTGAGGGCATTGGAGAGAGGACCTGAGAGGAGATAAGCCGAGGAGAGATATGACCAAATGAGGGAAGTATGGTTTTCTTCTTAGAATTGTATATGTGAAATACATGAAACATATTCTAATCTTTTAATAAAGTTCTTTTTTTAAAAAAAAAGCCTGCAGTATACAGTGATTGATTCATCTGCACAGAGCCAGAGCCAAGACTGAGGAAAGAAGAATCATTCAGGAGGTTGCTGTAAGAGTTCAGACACCGGGGCCGGTGTTGTGGCATAGTGGGTAAAGCCACTGCCTGCAACACGGATATCACATAAGGGCGACAGTCCCAGCTGATTCCCTTCCTATCCATCTCCCTGCTAATGGCCTTTGAAATCAGTGGAAGATAGCCTAAATGTGTGTGCTCCTGCCACCCACATGAAAGACCCGGATGAAGCTCCTGGGTCTTGGCTTCAGCCTGGCTTAGCCTTAGCCATTGTGGCCCTTTGGAGAGGGAACCATCAGATGGAAGATTCATTCTCTCTCTCTCTCTCTCTCTCTTTCTCTCTCTGTCTCTGTCTTTGTCTCATTGTTTCTCCCTCTCTTTCTTAGTAACTTTGACTTTCAATTACATAAGTAAACCTTAAAGCACACACACACACACACACACACAAACATACACAGTTTCACTACAGATGATATGTAGCTAAAAGTTAACATTCATAAACAAGATTATTGCTGATCATCTAAGAATACCATCCTCATGTTGTGCTGTGTGAGAGTGTGAGAAATATGGTTATTAAAAGTCAAGTTCAAAATAAAAATGTGTGATACCAAAAGGAACTGATTTTAGTCTGAAACATCTGCACTTCTGTATATTGCTCCACTGTTCACATTAGCCAATAAATGGATACAACCCATGTATCCAACTACTGATGAACAAATAAAGAAAATATGTTAATTATACACAGTGGAATAACATTTGTTCATTCTTAAGTTGAATAATAAATGGTTAAGAAAAATAATACAAAAAGTTGAAGGACAAGGAAAACAATGAGATGGGTTGATAATAATTTGAAATAATACAGGAATGAGCCTTGAATCAAAGGCATTGATTGTGAAATCTCTCTTATTCTTTTGTTAGTACTACCTTTATTCCCCATAATAACTTGATTTTTCATAAATTATCAAATTTTCAGATAATCTCTACTCTTTGAGAAATTAGACAAGTGAGAATCTTAAAATTACTTCTATGTTTGGTCATATAAGATACTTATATGAAAATATAAAGAGGAAATAACATGTGTAATCAATAGGTACAGCAGTTATTTCTAAAATAAATATTGGAAATAACTAAATAGCCAGTATCACAAGGAATGAACAAATAACATATATATGTGTATGCCATACCATTACAATTCCTTTAGCAAAGAATCCTTAACAACACCAAATCATTCCAAAAAGGAGGTTTGTTGAAAACAGCAGGGTAAAGAAGATAAATAGAAAAAGAGCATATTTTTCTCATACAAAAGAAATGTGGATTAGGATTAAATCTCTTTAATATATATCCTAGAATGTACATTGTGTTTAACGTTCAGTTATCAGAAAAAAAAATGTGTGACATGGTTTTCACACCAATACCTTTAAACTAAGAAATGGATAACTGGCAAATTTTGCATACCATGGATTTACATCAGCTACTACTCCAATAATTCCTGATAATACTGTTATTTCCTTTATTGTTCTTAGCAATCTTTTCACTAGTGTTTGCTGTGTGGCTGGCCTTTTGTGATGGTGCAAATTTTTTCTTCACAGGAAATGGAAGACTTTGTGCAGAGCTCTGGAGAAGAGGGAGTTGTGGTGTTTTCCCTGGGGTCCATGGTCAGCAACATGACAGAAGAAAGGGCCAATTTGATTGCATCGGCCTTTGCCCAGCTTCCACAAAAGGTTAGAAAAAGTATCCTAATGGTGGGGAGCTACTGGATGATTGTTTAACTCTGTAAAGGGACTGATTACAGAAACTTTTTTTTGAAATGTAAACAGCTATGATAGTTCTAATTCTTCTTAGATATCAATTTAAAAACAGAGACTTCTAAGATGCTAAAGGAGTGCTGAAGGTTTTTTATTTCAAATGCTCTGGAATACATTTTGTGATTAGAAATAAATATATTTGAGATACAGCATAAACTTTAAGTTTTTTGCAAAGATTTATTTATTTATTTATTTATTTGAAAGATAGAGAATTACACAGAGGCAGAGGCAGAGGCAGAGGCAGAGAGAAATCTTTCATCCACTTGTTCACTCCCCAGATAGCCATAATGGCTGGAGCTGTGCCGATCCGAAGCCAGGACCCAGGAGCTTCTTCCAGGTCTCCCAGGTGGATACAAAGGCCCAAAGACTTGGGCCATCTTTTACTGCTTTTCATGTCACAGCAGAGAGTTGGATAGGAAGTGGAGCAGCCAGGACTGGAATCTGTGCCCATATGGAATGCCAGCACTGCAGGTGGTAACTTTACCCACTATGCCACAGACTGGCCCCAAAGGTTTATTAGTATCCTAAAAAAGCAGACAGGTACATAGAAATCACCAGATTTTACCCTATTCTTTGATCTTTTGCCTTCAAGCAATGCCCACACTATTGTATGCACTAAAGATATTATTAGAAAAGATTTAAATGTTAATTGCTGTCTGCATAATGAATATAGGTGGATATGAAAAAATATCTGAAGTACATCATACAGTTTAGATTTTCCCATATAGCTTCTTGATTCCCCTTAATGTGTGAATGGGTCTATTCATAGTTCTACTCACAAACCTATTTCAACAAAGGAGGATCATGTCTCACCAATCCCCAGGCCAAATTGTCACATACTTAGTTAAGAAGTTTAGAGAAAGGGGAAAAAAAAATTCTAGCCAGTCCCTTGGGACTGGACTCCATCAATGTCTAAATCTGAATGTGTAAGAGAAAGAGTGGAGGAGGGTTGTAACCAGAGGTGCACTCCATGCAGTATAAAATTTGGCCCCTCAAGAAATTGTTTCTAATCCAGCACATTAATAGCTTTTTCTGGGTTGGTAAGGGAGGCGGGGGGGTATAAGGAATCAAGTAGAGACAAATGTGGCATGGGAAGAGGTTCAGGTGCTCCCAATTCCAGAAAATACAGCAGAGACTAATTTTCTAATGTATGCAATGTATCTTTTATCTGTAGGTATTTCTGAACCATTTTTTAATCTCATATAAGTTTCTATTAATCACCTAAATTATCATCATCATCATCATCATCATCATCATTATTTTGCTGAGAAGCTGAATTTAAGACTCACAGAGCATCCAGAAGTGAAGCACTTCTGGTTTATACTTCAATTTATGAGAATTTCTCAAAAATTCCTAAGCCTCTAGCAGACTTTAGTACAGGGCATGGTGATTGGGTATAGCAGCACATACTAATCATGTCTCTCAATGCTTTATAGTTCATTGTAGAAGGGTCAAAATCAACTGAAGAAAATTTAATGGCATCACAATTTCAGATTTTTTTCAACTGCTGTACTATACATGAATTAGCCTTTCCCTGTAGTTTTAAAATATTTCCAACTCTAGCAAGAATTATAATATTTTGGATTCATTTCAAAGTTGCAACTTGAAATTCTTCTTAGAAATAGTGCTTCATAATTTGTAACCTAAAACAAATGATATATAGTTCCTAAGCAGAATTAATTTATTTCTCACATATTTATGATCATACAGAATTGCTTTTTTTCAATTAAAAGATGTGAAATCATAAAGAAATTATGAAAACATGGATGTAACTAAACTTCCACTCTATTTTTAAATAAAAACCTTAATATTATAATTGCATGATTATTATAACAGAAAAATACACATTTTTAACATGAAAAGTATGCACTGTGATTAAATACTTGAATTATTCATTCATCATCTCACATAACTAAGCTGCTACATGTGAAACATAATGGTTACTTTCCACACTTGACTGCATATACAACAAGTACGGAAAAGTAAGTCCTCTGTTTACTTCAGACATTTAGTAGTTCTCGTTACTTAAGCCCTCATCCTTCTTTCCTATGGACAGTAATTAGCTAGGGGACCTCTGAAATGCATTAGAATTGCAATACACTATCATTTGAAATTAAGCTCATGGGTTAGATATTCTCTTTATCTAATAGGTTATATGGAGATTTGATGGCCAGAAACCAGAAACATTAGGACCCAACACTCGGATCTATGACTGGATCCCCCAGAATGATCTTCTTGGTAAGACTCTGGAGAACAATTGCTGAAAACACAAATAAAAGCCAATTCGGATGATAATAGTTTAACTGAAATCTGCATGGCCACATCTTATGGAGAAACTCAGCATCAAACATATTTAAATTTATTTTCTAGCTCTAGGAGAAATATAATAACCTAAAACACTGAGCATTTTCTTAAATGCACATTTACATGTTTTATGGCTGGAATCAAAATATCTTTCACTTTCAACAATTTCCTGCATTTTCTGTCTCCTAATTCAAATATTATTTCTGTCCTCTCACTGTGTTGTTTTTGAAAGCCTCTGGAAAACAACACACTTTCTTATTATGAATGATCCTGCATTTCCTATGGGAAAAGTCTTTATTGTGAAGTGATAGCATGTATCAAAATGAAGTGTTGGCTGTACTTTGTCCGTTTTCAGTATTGCCACAGTGCCACTCCTGGTTGTTTGGAGCACCTCAAAAACAGACTTAGTGAATGTACTATATCTTTTTTGGTTTGTGTTTTTGCTCTTTTGTTTTTTTTTTATGAATTTAATTTTATTTAATTTATATTTTTTCTGAAAGAAACATTTATTTAAGGAATACGGACTCAATGTTTTTCATAAGTACAACTTCAGGAATATTGTGATTTCACACCCATCCTCCCACCCCCACTCCCACCCCTCTACCTCTTCCTTCTCTCATTCTCATTCCCATTCTCCACTAAGATCCATTTTCGATTAACTTTATATGCAGAAGACCAACTCTATGTTAAATAAAAAGCTCAACAATTTGCATGAAAACAATTGTTCCTCAACAATGGAGACAAAGTCTGTTCAAAGTTACTGCATCTTGAAGATAATTTCACTTATTTTTTTAGAAAATTAACTTTAAAGAAACATCCAAGAATTAACTTTAATTAACTTTAAAGAGACATCAAAAGAACAGCCAATACATCTTTGACAAGCACTTAGACATAATTATACTTCAACTCTTTGACTACAGAGGTGCTGCATGGGAAGTTAGTGCATAGTGACTCCTGCTCTAAATTTAACAATTAACACTGTAATGTGTGATATCTGTGATCACCCCAGGCTCTTGACATGAACTGCATAGGTTCTGAAACCGTTTGAATCCACAAACTCCATAATTATTTAGACAAGGCCATGAGCTTGTGGAAGTTCTCTTCTCCCTTCAGAGAAAAATACCTCCTTCTTTAATGACCACTTCTTTCCTCTGGGTGGGGGGGGGTCTCACCCAATGAGGTCTTTCATGTAGGACAATTTGTTGCCACAGTGTCTTGGCTTTCCATGCCTGAAATGCTGTCATGGACTTTTCAGCCAGACCCGAATGCTTTTAGGGCTGATTCTGAGGTCAGAGGAATATACTATATCTTGTAATAAAATGTTCAAAATGCACTCAGCTTCAATTTTTGAAAATGAAGTTTATTTTTTCTGGAATATCCTCTTTCTTGGTGTTTATCATGTATTCACTGCTCAAGTAAAATTTCACACTTGCTCTTCCACATAGTCTTCACTTATCTCTCCAATGTACTTAGGTGCCTCTTCTTCTTGAACTGAACACAATCTAAATGCAGATTTAATGCTCTCATGATCTGTTATCTAGAGATAATGGTTCTCTTCAGTGTGTAATTCTGTGCATATTTCATTTCTGAGACATACATAATAATCTTATTGAAAATCCCTCAATCCTAGGTCATCCAAAAACCAAAGCCTTTGTAACTCATGGTGGAGCCAATGGCATCTATGAGGCAATCCACCATGGCATCCCTATGGTGGGACTTCCTTTGTTTGGGGAGCAACCTGATAATATTGCCCACATGACGGCCAAGGGGGCAGCCATTAGGCTGAACTGGAAAACAATGTCAAGTGAAGATTTGCTCAATGCCTTGAAGACAGTCATCAATGACCCCTCGTGAGTATTACTTTCATTAAATCTGTGTAATATTTACACATAAGTTTTCACCTGCAGGCCAAGAGTGCAACAGTTGAGTCTGAAAAAGGGCAAAAACATTGAGCACAAATTTTCTTCAAGTTGGAAGGAAATTGTCAAATAGTTCTTATGAGTTTCATAATGTTTTTGAGTAGTTTTAAGAGACGGGTTTGTCATAGATTTTCAGATAGTGTGCATATCTGAAATAGCCTAGAAATGGAATGAGAGGTGTAACTGAAGAGGACTACAACAGGATTAAATGAAAGCATTAAGAACACAAATGCAGAAGGTAAGCACAAATGTTATAAATGTACTCACCTACTTTAAGCCCATTTTTTTTTGTATTTTTTAAAGATTTATTTATTTATTATAAAGTCAGAGTTACATAGAAAGAGGGGAGGCAGAGAGAGAGGTCTTCCATCTCCTGGTTCACACTCCAAGCTGGCTGCAACGACAAGAGCTGCCATCTTCTACTGCTTTCCCAGGCCACAGCAGAGAGCTGGATCAGAAATGGAGCAGCTGGGACTTGAAGCAGTGCACATAGGGGATGCTGGCACTGCAGGAGGTAGATTTGCCCACTATGCCAAAGCAAGGCCCTAAAACAAGGGCCTTTATAAGATGTTATTTTTAAAATACATTCTCCATGTGTATTTCAGGTATACAACATGATGTTATGGGTTATGTGTAGATAGTCAAAAGGTTCCTATAGAGAAGCAGCTTAACATATTCATGATCTCACATGGTAGTTACTTATTTTTCTTTTTAAAATTCTAAAATGGTTTATTTTCCAGAAGCCAGCATGTCATAGTCCATTTCTAATTTCCATTACATTTATTGCTTTGCCACGTTTCTATGCTAACATTCTGATCCTGCTACTGGTATTGGTAAACAACTTGGATTTTCAGATTTACTCCTCTGCAAATTGTCTTCCTCCTGTGCATTCTTAATGGTAGGAAGAGGATTTCCCTCCACTGCGATTGTTTCCATGTCATGCTATAGCACTTTTCGGTTCAGATTTGGTAAGCCACATTGCTACATTCTATCACTAGCAACAATGCAGTTGCAATGTCTCAAAGTAAAATGTTGAGTACTCTCTAGATGCTAAGATCATAATACTAAAACAGCAACAACAACAAAAATAATAAAAACATTTATTGATGGTCTAATATATGCAAAGAATAATTGACAGTATTCTAAGAATCACTTAAAGAGTAACTCAGAACATTAGAATAAGAAAGGTACTATTCCTATCCATCCCATTTAGAAATGAACAACTAGGAATAGAGAAATTGATAGGAAGGACAAGGAAGTGTCAGAATCAGGGTTCAAAACAATGTAATTAATTCACTATGATACCTTAATAGTTGTAGTCATTTATCCATTGATACAAGGCCAATATCCCTACTGTGGTTGGTGCAAAGCTTATCGACTTTGCCCAGAAATGTAACTACGCTTTTTCATGGATCTGCCTTCTACATCTACATTTTGATATTGTCCCTACTGTGGTTGGTGCAAACCTTATCGACTTTGCCCAGAAATGTAACTACGCTTTTTCATGGATCTGCCTTCTACATCTACATTTTGATATTGTTTTGAACCTTGTACATAAAATCCTCCCTAATTCCTATTCTATAATTCCAGTTCTACACATTCAATAATTTTTGGTTTTGTTTTTGTGTTTTCTTCTTCTTACATTTAGGACTAGGTGATCCCAATTCCTAGGGTGTAATGTTAGCAAAACTTATTCTCACCCAAGTTCTGTATATACATATTGAATATGTATATATTCATATTGTATATACATATTGAATATGTATATATTGAATTGTATATGTATCTGTACATACACATTGAATTTCTTATGCATCTAATAAATTCTAGCCTATTAGTTAAGATCAGTATATTAACCCTCAAAGAAAATATCATTTTTCTTTCATTTTTATGTGACATGCATTTTATCATCTACAAGAAAATATCAGATATCAGTTTTTTGTATTTCATTCTGTAATTTGTTGTCTACTGGTTTTCCCTTCAGCTATAAAGAGAATGTCATGACATTATCCAGTATTCACCATGATCAGCCCATGAAGCCCCTGGATCGAGCAGTCTTCTGGATCGAGTATGTCATACGGCACAAAGGAGCAAAACACCTTAGGGTTGCAGCCCACGACCTCACCTGGTTCCAGTACCACTCTTTGGATGTGGTTGGGTTCCTGGTGTCCTGTGCAGCACTTCTGATTTTTCTTGTCATAAAGAGTTATTTGTTTGTCTATCAAAAGCTTGTTAAGATAGGAAAGAAGCAGAAGAGGGATTAGAGCTCTTTCACACCTGTGGGTGTCAGAGAAATCAGACTGCTCCATTTAATTCAAGCACTTTGGATCAAGATGTGACAAGATTGGCACATTTTTTTGAGAATTGTGCCTTTTAGATTATTCCATATATTTAATTGTTGATTCACCATTAAGGAATATACAAGTCTAATTCCAGATATCCATATGCAGTTCTACTTTAATGCTGAATCAGGCAGAATATCATAAATCAGAAAAAAACAAAAAAAAAATTAGATCCTTTAAAGTCAGGGTATTCGAGAAGGGCAAGAAGCATGAATATTTCATGTGCATATTCAGAAATACCTCTATTTAATTAAAAAAAAATCATGTGTACCATATGTGTCTGTGTCAAATAAACAGAGTGAGATCCTTGTTAATGTTTGCATGATAATTTATTCAAATGACTATAGCATGTGAAAAGAAGCTCTTGTTTATACAAACCTCAACAACACCTAGGACAGAAGTGACTGACATTTTTAAATAAATAAAATGCACATATTGGATAATGAAGAATTATGTCTCGCAAAAGAGACCAAAGAACATAGTGGTAATGGAAAATTGCTCAAAGGGGGTTGGTAAGGTAGGGTACACGTATTTTTTTTTTTTTTTTGCCTTTTAGCAGTATTGTATTTTTATGAGTAAGGAAGAAACACAGAGCCTGAGCTCCCCTTACTGCTATAATCCTAGTAGATGGAAAACAGGCTAAACACAGTGAGTGTTATGTCCTTTGTCTTACATGGCATTTACAGTTCACATGTCTCATGAAATGCAAACTATATTATTGTGGATTTTGTTTGTTTGTTTTCAAAATATGAATGGCCCTAGCTAGTCTCTTATTGAAATCCATGTAACACAGAAAAATGTTTGGTAAGAAATATAAGATATTTTCTGCATGATTCCTTGAGTATGCTTGGGGTATAGTTTTCACTTTATTGAATGAACCTGTGTAACCACATATATGGCACAAAATAAAAGGACAGGCCACTTCCTATTAGTTAAGACGGATGACTAAAACCCCGTAAGTTTAGTCCAGTCCTGAGGACTATGTTGTCAGAAGAGTCCCATTCTCCTTGCTTAATAATATCTTCCATTTCTTAGCCTTGCCTTGTCAGATGTTTAGAACTGATTCAATTCCTGGGATATGTATAATATGAAAATCAGAACTTTGAAATGTCATTTTATGTATTATTTCCTAACAAGGATGTAATAGATGGAATAAATATACAAATATTACAAATGGAAAAGTTTAAAGTCTATTTTAGATGAAGTGTTTAAATGGCAAAAAGTTTCGTAGGAATCTAGTGACCATGCAGGCAGGCAATAGTCACGATTCTGGTGATTGCAGCAACAAAGCAAGTAAATTGTGTTCAATGTTTTCCTCACTGGCTCCCTGTTCTAAGCCTCCTTTATCCATGCTCTAGAAAGTGTTTCTTATCATGCCAAGATACATGTGCAACTTCTCCTAACAGATTAATTACTGATATGATTGGTCATTCTCATTCTTCATATCCTTATGAACAGATAGAAAACTCATTGTTAAAAAATGTGGAAAACTATCAAAACACACAAAAACCACTATCAAAAACACAGGAAGTACAATAACCAATAATCTCCATTTAATGTTATTCTGGCCTGAATCCATTTCATTTCTTTGTCATTCACTCTAAATGTGATATGTCCAGCTTTATTTTGTTGTATAAAATTGCTGTAGCTCTTCAGGGACTCTTGTGTTTCCATATGAATTTTAGTAGCATTTTTTCTAGGTCTGAGAAGAATGCCCTTGGGTTTTTGACAGGAATCACACTGAATATGTAAATTGCTTTCGTTATGAAGGATATTTTGATGATATCGATTATTCCAATCCATGAACATGGAAGATTTTTTCCATTTTTGTTTCTGATTCTGTTTCTTTATTTAATGTTTTATGCATTTCATCACAGAGATCTTTGACATCGTTGGTTAAATTTATTCTAAGGTATTTAATCTTTATCGCTATTGTGAATGAGATTGACCTTAGAAGTTCTTTCTTAGCCATGGTCTTTTCTGTGTATACAAAACTATTAATTTTTGTGTTAGTTTCATATGCTGCTTCTTTGCCAAACTTCTTATGAGATTCAATAGCTTCTTAATGGATTATTTTGGTTTCCATATTTATAGAATCATGTTATCTGCAAATAGGGATAGCTTAACTTCTTCCTTCCCAATTTGTATTCCTTTGAACCTTTTTTGGTTTGGACGATCATACAGGTTCTAATTTAACGAGTCCTGTATAGACTGGAGGGTAGATTCGCATGCCTTCTGATTTACAATACTAAGTACAAGAAACATTGCTCAGAAAGAGGTAAGCTCTATCTGTATAAAATAATTAGGTAACTGCAAAAACCACTTTACCTGAAACATGTTCAATTATATCAGCTCTCCTATAAATGTATCTTAATGATCAACTTTTACATTGCTAACTCTATACTCCATTTGGAATTTATTGGCATGTTTGGTTTTGTAATACCAGATAGAGTGTTCCCTTGTCAGATATATTAATCATTGCCATGAAACTTTTATGTAAAAAGAACACAACACCTTCATATTAAATCCATGTAAGCATTCCAAATTTATCAACTTACATTTTTGTATTCTGTCAATCTAATGCTAGCCTGTTAGATCACCCCTGATGGATACTGGTACCACAGTACATGTGGTTCTTCTGTCAAAAAAGTTTCAGGTATTTTCTCTCAGCATCCTTTGATCGTTTAATCTACTTGTGTATATAGGATTTGGATGTCCAACAAGGACTTGAAACAACAGACCTTTGCCCATTTATCATGAACAATCTGCCTAAAGATCACTGCATTAAATTTTTATCTATGCTCTCATTAAAATCACTGTTTTCTAGTTTTTAAGTTCCATTAAATGACAATAAATTAAGCTGATTGTTTGGGTCCTATAAGGTAGGGGTCACATTCAGAAGGTTGCATTTGTCTATCCAATATTTTGATAGTGTTATATTGAGATCTTTGTTTTATTTCCATCAAGTTCCATTTTAATCATCTCCTAATAACCATCTAAAGGTTCCCACCCTGGAAGAACAATTCCCAGTAATTTTCCTTTTCATTTTTCTTATAGTCATTTCACTATCAGTATTTTATTCATATACCTTACTTCTTAACTTCTTAATGTCTGCTTCATTTATTTGAAAGCTGATACAACAGACAGCAATACTTCAATAATTGCCCTTGTTAGCATCAGAGTTTCTTACTTTTGGGCACTTAAGTAATGATAAAATTCAGTTGAGTCAGAAGCACACTTTCTTTTGAAAATGAAGCTCCTCAAAATTGGAGCATATAAAATTTCTGACAAAGATGACCTTAGGTTGGCCCTTTGGATCTGCGTCTCTAGTGGTGGCCATTTCTCTGATATTCAGATGCATAAGAATTGATATAACTACATTGGATTTTTGGTTTCAATATTGGCTAGTTCAGTTTTGGCTAGTGGAAGTCTAGTCTCTTGCTCCCATATGTGCTCTTTGTCTGTTTTCATTTTATTTACTTATCCATGAAATCATCATGGGAGTGTCCTCTTATTTGGTTCCTCATCCATAGTATTTATTATTTTTTGTCAGATCAAATTCTAGGAACATATGTCATTGATTTTGTTGAGAAACCCATAATTGTTAACCTGACTGACCATCTTCTTTGTGTTTATGATCCATTCATTTAAATTTAGGCATTTTTTTGCATATTATATTCTTTTGGTGCTTTCTGTAACAGTGGTTAAGATATATTTGTTATTTAAATGCTAAGTTCAAAGCTATAAATATTTATTTCCCAAACCTCTTTCCTACAGTGGCCTGCGAGCAATGTTATATGACAATTAATGAGCACATCTATTATTTGAATCTTTATTGTAGAGACTTTTTTTAAATAAAAGTAATCCTAGCTTCTTGGTGAAAAGATCCTTATTGATCCTCAAATAAGCAAAGTCCAGGATGAGTCCGAAGAGTTTTGTGCTATCTAAAAGTGAAAAAGCAATCAAATTCTAGGAATGTGTCAAAAAATATGACAGGCAATTATAAGGAATCCTCGTGAATCAAATTGGTATTAATTTGAGCAACAAAATAATGATAGCAATGGATTATAATTATAAATACATTTTAAAAAACAAATATAGAAACCATTTGTAAATTTTAATATTTTGATAGAAAAAACAGGTCTTGAGCCTGTTTCTCCCTACCTCCAAAGTTCAAAAATACTCCAAGATTGCATGTATATTGTACATAGTGGAGAACGATTGGCTAATGCATTTTATGGATTAGGGGGCATCATGCCTCTGCATCACCCCTTCTTTTATCCCATTTATCTTCCTGAATTTGTGGAGGTATTGAATCTTGATGGTTTAGAAACACAGCTGACCGAGCTGTATTTCATGCTGCACAGGTTTCACCTGCTGGGAAGGAACCATATCTCCCCTACCTCTTACATCTTCCTGCTTCAGATGCTGGCAGGGTTGGGCCCTGAGGGGAGACTGGTTTTTCTGGATCTCTAAATATAGTTGGCTGGGTAGGTGAGTGCTTGTGTTACCAACTAGCTTTATTCATTATTTCAATATTAATATTGAGGGTCCTTGCTGTCTATTCAGATAAGAATTCTGAATAGCAGCTCAAGTAAACCAGGTGATATGGTAGTTTTGGCATTTATTCAATGAGAGAAATACACAGGAAAGTGAGTGCTTAATTTAGGGGCGAACAAAGTCTAGAAGTGCAAGCTGGGTCCATACCAGGCCGGGAGCCATCTGGAGCAAAGCACACAGTGGGGTCAGCCCCAGGTGGGTAGCACAGATAGAAAAGCAGAGATTGGGCAACCAGAGGTGCAGGACAACAAGGGAGCTGCCCAGGTGTTCCAGGCCTTTTACTCACTTCCAAAGGGGTGTGGATACTTGTCTGATTGGCAGGTGGGCATACAGGTAAGATTAGGTAGGGGGCAGGGTGAAGGCATGGAATCCAGCTCTCTCAAATTTAATCAATTTAATCAAATCTGCCTGCTTATATAACTTGTACTCAGGTTTCATGGACTTTAGTCAACCTTTCTCTGAAACTGCCTCTGAAGTGATCATTCAGATGTAGCCACCGAATCTTGCGTTTATGAAAATAGGCCACAGGTCCTGGAAGTGGACCAAATTTCTGAGTCAATACTCCTAGAGCAACCCTTTGCTTTTTGCTATAAACAGGGAGAATGGCTTACAAGGTTAGGATTTTTAATACTAGAGCTCCTGCTAATAGCTCTTTAATCCTTTGGAATGCCTTTTGTAGCTTCCATGTCCAGCACAGTGGGTCGGTGTCGTTCATTTTAAAGCTTCAAATAAAGGTTCAGCTTTAACCTAAATC